CTCATCACTCAACTGGATGATATTGTAAGGAGACATTCTGTCATGATAACTCATGGGAGATACAGGGAGAAATCTTAACCCTTTAACTCCCAAGATCTCATTAGTGATTCTCCTAACTGTCTGCCACACAGTTCTTGTGATGTTTGTTAGGAGAAATTGATATTGGATCACCTTATAATCCCCTGATATTTTTCTTTATTCTCATCACTTGTGTGCTTGATATTGTACAAATGTTGTAAGGAGAAATTCTGTCTTGGTCACTCATGGGAGTGAAACGGTAAAGAGAGTACCCTTTGAACAGAGACAGTATAAACACAGAGGCAAGTCTCGACCACTCAGATGAAGCAAATGACCATTTTTTTCCCCTTACAAATTCCCTGGGAAGTGGGAACATGTTAACTGTCAGGAAAATCGGCCAGAATGCTGTAAGGGGGGAGGGAGGTTAAGCTGTGATGTTCTGTCACCCCACCCATGAGGGATAGACATGCTTTTTTGCTGCTATGGAAACCTGAGATGAGCAAAAGCGGTAACTTACATTCCTAGACGTAACCCAGAAGCATGTGAACAATAAACCCTGTCAAGACGTTATCTTGATACAGTAACAAATTCTCCTCATTGATTTACAACGAAATGTAAAACTGCTGCAAGGGAGAATTACTAATCGGATCTATGCAGTCAAAGGGTGAAAAACTTGTTGTAACTTGTCTCGTGGTAAACAGTTGATGAGAAAGATAAAGATGAGGAAGATGGTAAGTTTGAGCCTGGTAAAGAAATATAGGATGTTGTTTACGTCTATTCATGAACGTAGAACAAACAATAAGTTCGGAGTCCCCATGACGGAATGGGGACTCAGAATTTTTTCTTTATCCCAAGCTCGTGACAAGATGTAAAAAACATCTCCTACTTCTTTACCTACCTCAAACTTACCATCTTCCCTATTCTATATACAAGATAATGAGAGTGAAAAAGACCTGTTAACCTTTTAATCCCCAAATTGAGTGGTATCTATTTCCTCCTTATAATATCACAGCTGAATCACGTATTAGGTTCCAATAACAAATGTTATTAACAGTGTGGAGAATATGCATACTGAGGTGAGGAATGTAGAGGTTTAAGTAGAGAATGTTACATTGTTACGATACGAAATTCTCTGCAAGTAACTCAGTTAGTTTGCGTGGAGAACTATTTTCTCTTGGATCATCCTCTAGCTCAAGCGCACAAACCGGAAAGTGAACGCATGGGATAGATGGGGTAAGGTGGAAGAAGAGCAACTGCCCACCTACCCCTCCCCTAACCCAATAACAGTCAATTGATGACAAGTTAGGGTTAATGTTGGGTTAGGGGAGGGGTAGGTGGGTAGTTGCCCAGATACTGATATTGATCCCATGACTGTTACACAAAGCAAAGGTAAGAGATTTAAACGATTGTGCCTGCTCAAATAAATCTTTCCGCCCTCCCCTTACACACGGTTTGTTCCACGGCTTCCACAGACTATCCCTGCTTTACTTTTCATTGTGTATGATTGCGTTCCCCTGGCTTGGACCAGACTAGGAGAAACAGCTGGCATAGAAGTGTGATCGTCTATATTATTTTTGTCGGCAGATACTTAGTTTCATTCTTGTTAGCTGTTCTGTTACCCGTCAATCGCTGCGGTTTTCACTAAGATACCTCTCCACCTACTCCATTTGTTTTTCTCTTATTCTTGCCAAATCTCTTTCTTTCACGATACTTTTGCGCCCGTCATCCGTCGCCCTTCTGAAAATAACTCTCCCTCCAAAGTGTATGCTAAAAAGATACAGAACGTATCTATTATTAAATATGAAAGCTTTTGAAATAATGAAGCCTCGCCATGGAAATTCACACCACCCTCGTTCTGAGGTTTTTTTTTTTCGAGTCCTAATTTGCACGTGTTTCTCATCTCATTAACGTTTTACGGTTTCACGTGGTATGAGCTGTTTCTCTACTTGAAGGAATAATTCACTCGCCAGCTTATCGATTTTAACGTTTATGCCGTTGCCTGGAATAGTCGAGAAACTGCTGGTGTTTGCAAACTTGACATGGACCAAGCTGCAAGTTGCAGCTCGCTGCATATTTTTAAAGTTTTTTTCTCAACAGAGCTACAGGTAAGAGTAAGAGAAAGTTCAACTTGTAAATAAGGTGCTGTACGCTGAGCTATGAATCCTGCATTATGGGTCAAATGCCTTAAAATTTTTATTTACAAGTAGGTTAATGCCATACAAATTGCCAATGAACAGTTTCGGGAACAAATTTATCTATTAATTATGCGAATCTGCTAAGGGGTTGAGAGAAATTCTTCGCCTGACGGTAAATTCTAACCCGAATGAGAGCTCGCTTTGAAACGAAAATCTGAAAGCCTTCTTTCGCCAACGAAGCGTCAAAGATTCATAAAATAAACGTGTTAAAAAGACAGAAAATATATCAGAAGTGCTTTTTTGAGTGATGTATTGCTGATTAAACAGCAAATGAAAGGAATTGCTTTGACCTTTCCCCTCTCGAGATTTCATTAGTAATTCTCCTTACAGTCTGTCATACAATTCTCTTGGTGTTACTTTGGAGAATTTGGTATCGGATCAACTAACAATCCCTTAATTGGTGTTTTCCTATATTCTCAATACTTGTCCGCTTGGTATTGTATCGATATTGTAAGGAGAAATTCTGCCTTGGTCACACATGGGAGTCAAAGGGTTAACTATTCTGACGCAGTCTACGGTACCACAGTCATTAAGACTTTAATTTTTGTTTCTTTAGTTGAACTCGGTGCTGTGTTTGAAATATTCAAGTACGACAAAGAAACACGCCGAGGATACGAGGTAAGCTTCATAATAAGGCTTGTTCAAAATAGATGCCTAGGGTGTGTATGTGTCTGCTACTTTCGGTACCATGTGTTTTGTAGGCATACAATTCGTGTTCATCAGTTAATAATGTAAATGTAAAAATTACGCCCCTCTGATTGGCTGAAAACGAATGCATTTTCATGTAACACGAGTGCAAAGTTGTAACACGAATGCAAATTACAAATATAGCGCGCGGTCAAATTCGATCGTGACTTTCTGTGATGCTTTTTTCACGCAAATTATTAATAAGTAATTACATGATGTCTAATGCAATTTGTTGTCAATAGGCAATTGGAAAAGTTTTAAAAGCTACAATTTTGTTGTCTTTGACAAATTTACTCGTGCTTATTAACAACAAACTGCACTCGAAATCATGTTATTACCTATACTTATCAGTCAGGCTACCAAATTGTTTTGCCAGTTTTAGCTACCGCTACCGTGATGACCCTTGGTAAATTCTACCTTTTGAGAAAGAAGTCCATTGTTAATTTGAAATTAGACAATGTGCAAATTATTTTTCACGCGCATTTTGATGTGGAACTATGTCGCCAACAAAAAATGATCGGAATGTCAGGAAACTTTTTGGCGCGTGTGCACCACGGAAAAACAATTTTACATCTTATTAAGTTAACGTTTTCTTCATCGAAAAATTTCAAGTAGGTCTCCTTATCGTTTGTATATAATGGAAAAATATTTTGCGATGGGAAAATATATTATTGAAAATCATTTTTGACAGATTCTGGAAAGCGTTTCAAAAAGAACAGTTTTGCACAGCCCATGTTTCATTATGCATACAATTCTTGGATAAAGAAAACAACGGCGAAAGCAATAGATTGTCTTGGGACTTAGGCTTTGTTTTAAAATAGTTTGAGGTTATAAGGAGCTGTTTCCAATGCATCATGATTAAGGCAGCATAGTGTGAAAACCATCATCTTGGTAAAGACTCAAAGTTGTGTAATACATTAACCTACAAGATGATCAACATCAAATTTCTCCATAAAAGTATAAGTACGTCGTCAAAAACAGCAGTTTGGTAGGACAAAGGGGAGAATTTCCTTATTAACCCTATACTTCTCTCAAACAAAATAATTTTGTTTTATCATCTAAATTGACGATATAAACTGACCTCCCAAAAGAGTTTCTAAAGTTCCAAAGGCATGACATTGTTTTCTTTATCCAACAACTGTATGCATCATGAAGTATGGGGCAGCCACACGAAGTCTTACAAAAATAAACTTCTCATCTAGAAGATTTGAACTCGATACGGAATCGAGTTCCGAAATATCTCCATATGATCCCATACTACATGAGCTCCCTTAACTTAGCTCAACGCAATGTGCGCAAACTACCTAGGGGATCATAAGCATTGATTTCAGTTTGTTGTATCGCGCTATACCGTTGAAGAAAACCAACACGCAACACACAGAGGAGTTAAATTAATTTAGTAAAAACTCTCTGGTTAAACTGATTACGGACACGCATAATCCTTCTACTCTATCAACTATTGATCTCCTAACCAAGTTAGATTGTTTCCTTTCTTAACATGTTCGTCTTCGTCACCTTTCAGCTTTTGAATGTGGACTACAGCACGGAGGAAAAGATTGAGCTGAAGAGAACTTAGTTGATGGAAGAGGGACAATTGTAAAATTGATTTGTGAGGTACTAGCTGTAAATGTGCACCACTAAAAACGGTTTCAGTATGAATTTAAAAATTTCTCAGAAGCATGTTCAGAATTTCCAGTCGTCAACATAAAGAAAACACTAGTCATAGCCTAGTTTAAAACTTAGGTTCGATAGGACACAGTCGTCAAGGTGAGGGGTAATATTTGTTATTTTACCAGTTCAAGATGCTGAGGCCTCAAGTCGAGTTAAGCTGATCCGATTTTTTTAAATTTTGAAAATCCAAATTATACTATGGTGCTAAGAGGGACACTAAAATAGTTTTTTTCAATAATATAGTTCCAAATTTGTTTTGATGATCCTCACCTGTTACGTTCTTTTGTAATAGCAGTAATCCTCTAATTTGTCTCATAGAGTAAAAACTTCTAATTTTGCTCGTTTTCAATAAGATAGCCTCTGGAAAGGAATTTTTTTGATAGTTATTGTGAGTAATGAATCAACTTTAATGTTACAAATTTATCCTTGACAAGTTAGTTTGTAAATCATCAATTTTATTATCTTAGTGTTGAAAAACTTTTTACTTGCATTTTGAAAATAAACTTACAAAAAGAAATAATTCTTTAGTTACTTTATTGTCTCTTTCCTCTTCCTTTGTATTTAACTGAGCGCACGAGCAATTTAAAAAAAATTGCGCTTTTGAAAGGGCCTGGTAACTGGTCAAAATATAGGCTATCTCTTTTACTTTTTTTCGCGTATGGAGGGTTGCCCAGGGGAAAAAAATTTCTACGGATTTGAACGGGAGCTAGTGTTAAAACAAAATATATACTTTACTTCTGATGGGAAGAAATAAACTACACATTGCAGGATTTTTCCCGCCAAAAGACTCTGTATATTTTCTGATCAACACAAGACACAATTCAAAAGCGCAGACCTTTTTTTTCCAGAGACATTTTTCCCGCCAAAAGACTTAGTTTTTTTTCGAAAATATTTTTCAGTTTTCTGAGCCATTCCAAAAAAATGTTTCAACTACCGAAGGGATAAATCTTTCCTTTTCCTTCTTGCGAACATGTGGTTTGCCCCCTCAAAAGCGCGAGTTTTTACTCCTACGTAAATATTGCTTTTTTTCTTTCGGCGTGACAAATTTCGTTAACGGATGCCTTTATGCCAGAATTACAATAAACTTTATTTCAAGTAGATAAACTTCCAGAGTATTCTGGGATAATCTTTTCTTTTGGCATTATCTTTGGAACCTGAAACAAAAAAAATGTATGATTTAATGACAATTTTTCCTAGCATACACTGAGCTGTATTAACTGCTGAGCGTTTTGGCAATTTTCTACTTCAACTCTTCATTCACCTTTGTTACGAATTACTTTCTCCCTAAAATTGATTTTTCAGTTTCATGCAGAGACGACAGGAAAATTTTTAAGAGTCAAATAGACCATAAAAACGTAGGGACAAATGAACTAAAATTCAGTTACGACAATTTCAATACTATTTCACCAGACGCACAAATTATTTTGGCACTCCACATCAAGGTGGGCTGGGTCATGGGAAAATACAACTCTACACGCCGTTGAAGGTGCAGTGCAAGATCTCTCCCTATTTTAGTTAATCTGAATTATATTCGTTCTCAACTCAACCGTTGATCAAGTGAAAAGCGTTGAGCCTTTACACATCAACATTTGAATTCTCCATATTGTTCTCAACGTATTTGCTAAAGTGTTGATAAGGAGAATTTGTTCAACAATCAAAAGCTTGGTGATCATTTCCTTTACTCTCGTGGCCTTAATGTGTGATTCAGGAGTGATATTTTTAGGAAAAATGAAATATTAATCACTTTCAGTGGTCAAAGGGTGAAAACAGCCATTCAAGGCTTCCGAATAATAAAATTTGCGTTTTTGTATCATTTGAAATAAAACACATTTATTGCACCTTGCAGTCTCTTCAATTATTCTGTCTGTTGTATAATCTTATAGTCATTGTAATTCCTGCTTCATAGTTATTTTTTCATGTCTAATTTGGATCAATCGACCAGCAATTATGACTTTAGTCAGAACTATGACAAAATTCTTGAACATGATTGGTCATCACCGGCCTGATTTGGGCACTAATTGGACAGTCTACGCGTCATGCTTGTAATTGGACAGTATAAAAGGACAGTTAAAGGGACAGTTAACACGTCATGCCTATGTAAGTGGACAGAACGCGTCATGTGCGCGCACTGTTGTCTCGCATTTCGCCGAGTTAAATGTTGTATTTTCTATTCTAAGAACATGTATAACCGATGTCGAGTTTGTATCTCAAAAAATGTCAGTTTTAATTAATTGGAAACAGGACTTCGTGTCGTCCAATTCTGTCTGTAATCATACTCGTAATTAACAAATCGGACTCCCGCTTCTTGGTCGTCCGATTTTGTTAATCACTCATGATTACAGACGGAATTGTGCTCCACTCGGTCCTGTTACCATTATAAATCTTGAGGTTTTAACACAACGAGCAGAGCACGAAAATTTCAAAAAGTGCAAAATCTAAAAGCGTCTTACTCTAATTTTATCATTCCTTGCTCTGTTCTTGAGGGTTTCGATGCAATAAGATTATCTAGAGAGGAAAAGTAAAAAAAAATTGATAAATACATCATAGTTGAAGGGCTTTCGATTGAGTGTCGTAAAGCAGAACCAGCATAAATTCAACAGCCAATCATGTCAAGGATAATGTCACGAGGAGCCAATGAGAATTCGAAATAGAAACGATCAAACTGTGAGGCGCGGGAAACGCGGGTGACCAAATCGTGATGGTTTTGGGTTTTGTTTTGATTGGTTGGGAAAGTGGCGCGAGTTTTCTGAACCAATCACATAACAAGTACAACTAAACCAAAGCAATCTCCGATTACTTTTAACTTTCAATTGAAAACAGTGGATTGAATTTCAAAGCGAACTAAAGCTTAAAAGTGTCTTACAACTCAACGCAGAGTTATTTTTTTAATTGGTTTGTCATTTGGGGGAAAATACATCTAATTGTAATAAAGTTGTCATGAAAAAAGGAAAAACAAAAAAGTGAAAAGCAAAAACAAATCTGTGAGCCATTCTAGTCAGAAAATGCATACGAAAGAGTGATGAGGTGGGCGACTGACCTGAGTTTGTTCGAATCAATTGGTCAATGGGTTTAGTGCTGGGAGATTTTTTCCTTTTACTAACTGCACAGTCTTGTTGAATTGAAGAGTGTTTTGCAATCTTTCAAGGTCTGTAGGGCAAAATGGGGAGTTTATGTACAAACCTAGCATCATGAATAGCTTCGATTATTAATGATCTGATATGAGAACACTCAAAGTTTTTGGCTGATTCATCAAATTTGATTATCTTACGCAAACATTGGCGGTTAGATCGATCAGTAACACTTTTACGGACGAAAATAATCCTGTGCTTTTTTGAGATAAAAGAAATCTGGTTAAATTCTGTGTTTTCACTCAAAAACACTCATGTCCACATCACGAAATGCTCTCTGAGGTAAACCCGGGGAGTGAAGGGGGTGGAAGACTTTGGGATCACTTGTTTTTAGGGGGGGGGGGGAGCGCTGGAGGGGAGTTCAATCGCCATTAGAGAATAAGGACTATAGAAAAAGACTATAGAAAATCGCCTGTCAATCAACAGCCAATGAGAGGGTAGTCATAAGAATCTTGCAGGGCTTCATTTAAATTTGGATTTTTTTATCTTTTCTTTTTTTCTTTTCCTTTTTTCCTTTTTTCTTTTTTTCTTTTTCGTTTTTCACTTTTTCTCTTTTCTTTTCGTCTTTTTCGTTTTCCATTTTTCTTTTTTCTTTTTCTCTTTTTCGTTTTTCATTTTTTCTTTTTTCTTTTTTTTCTTCCCGCTATGACAACATTACTGCAATCAGAGATGTTTCAAGTTTGAAAATAATTAGATTAATACTAAATTTCTAAAGATACTGGAAATTAATGACTAGTAGGCTTTATTTGTTAAATTTACGTGAAAATGATGGTGAGCATTTTTCTCTCATGATTTTATATGTGACAAATAAGTGACTTCTTTGTTTAAAATTTTGAGTTACAGTGTCAATTCTGTCCTTGTACAACATCCAAGCCAAGTAAACCGTTTTTGAGTATGAAAGACTTGTGCGCAAGAAAAATAAGAACTACCTTAGCCAAACTTTTCGCAAAAAATTGAAGACGTAGTCAAACTGACCTGTATGTACTGACTGTATCTGCCTCACAATCTTGATTTTGTTAATGATGGACTGTCTTCTCTATCTGTCGCATGGTTACCTTAAAAGCCAACAGAAAAAAATTAATTGACGAAAGACAACTGAGGAAAATTTTTAAAGTGTTAATTGTAACGTTTGAATATTTCACAAAAAAATTTTGCAAGGGGGCTGGGGAGGAGAGAGGGAAAGACTAGTGCATAAAAATTTTGAGGAAGAGTACTTACTGAGATGTTTAAATTTTGGTTTTCAAGACCTCAAGATGAACTGGGATAGTCTCAATAATGACCATTTAAGAATGAAAACTTTGATTAACAGTTCAGAATATCTTAGATTTTGCGAATATACTTTTTATAACAAAGACAACAATGCCGGAGGACTTCCCAAAATGCCGGAGGACTTCCCAAAATGCCAGCGTCAAACAAATAATGTTTTTAGAGGAAATGATCCAAAAGTGAACCGATTTGTCGATTACCGCTGCTTCCTTTCCCTCCCCCCCCCCCCCCCCCCCCAAGGATAGGAGTTTTTGGCATTACTGTGCGGCATGTGTCTCCAAATCTTAACCCTTTTCAAAACAAAAGTTGTCATTTTGATATCCGTATGTTGTCAAACCGGACCTTAAAAAATTAGTATCCGTTTCAAAACTGTCTTTCGTTGAGTAAAATTCTAATATATTACACAGGATTGAGCTAACACAAAAATGTTCTGTCCTTAAAAATTCATGAAGGAAGGGTCGAAGACTTGCTACTGAAATACTACCTTCAGTGAGCTGAAGCTGTCTCAAAATATTAGGAATTGTCGTTAATTTTCATCTGTGCAGGAGAATTAAACTAGATGACTTACATGAGGTAATCGAATACAGGTCTTCCTTTTCTTCGTGGCTTGACTCATTCGGTGCATCGTTGCAGGCTGCAACATTCGTCCGAAGACCGTGACACGATGCAAAAAACCGACTCTCAAGACCACCCAAAATTTTTTGTATCGTTCTCGAGACGCTAAGGCCGTCAAAGACTTGTTCGTCAACGATTTTTCAAACCAAGAACTGCAATTTTAAGCCTAGAAGCAAACCAAGTAACCAAGGCAAGTTCTGAGCTCCACGTGCAAAGGCCTCGACTGAACTAAGATAAATATTAAATGAAAGTAGAACCATATTTGCAATTCAAATTATACACTTGGAGCATGCGCCTAACAATAAATATTCAAAATAATACTCAGAGGAGGGGAAGAAGGTGTGACTTGTATCAATCACCCCGGTTCAGTGTTCAGCTGTGTACCTCTGTGAAGGTTAAATGTTTCAAGACTGTTTTAATTTTGCATGTAAAGGTAAATGGTAACAGGATAGCTTTACCTTGTTTTAAAACTGTTGTTGGTTCCACGTCTTTTTTTTTTTCCTTCCTCTTGCCAAATTGTTAATTAGCCTAAGTATGTTTGATGTGGAATTATTAGTGGTTCAAATTTCCGGCCAAGAAATTGCCATCAAGCATGGATTTCTGCGCAACGCTGGTGATAGTCCATGGAGGAAGTGGAGGTGGAGGAGGGGTGGGGACGAGTGAAGTTTGGGTTGCAGAGCATCCACGATACCACCACTGCTCGGAGATGGAAGTTAATACGAATTCCTACGATAAGCTAAAAGTTCTGACACATACAACGGGGCTATACAATAAAGAGATTTGTAAGCTAAAAGAGGAATGTATAAACATATGATACCTATCAGGAAGACAATGCAACTCAACTTAAGTGCGAGTGATGCGTTCAATTTATTTTCTAAATCTTAAGACAAGGCGAGTTGCAGGACAATGATTTTGAAAGTACTGTGACTTAGCCATGAGAAACTTAAAATCAACTAAAATTCTGACCATGTTTGGGAAAAAATGCCGATCGTATTGCTAGACTGTTGAAGAGAAAATTGTCATAAATTTTTATTTTATTGACCAACCTAAGGTCACGTCTGGCATTTCAAGAAATTATAAGCTGCATATGCACATTGATTTTCGAAAGTGTCAGCGCTGCACAGGTGAAAAGCATATCCTCAACGCTCAAACCCTCTCGAAGACCCCTGGTCCGGAAGGCAACATGTTCAATAGATATAATATTCAATCCTCTCACCCTGTGTAAGACTCTAGTTCTCGAAAAACATGTTTGTTCGGAAGAGTACTTCCTTTCATGCGTAAATAAAGCGCGGTGCTTTTTACGGAGGGGTGATCTACAAAAAAATTGCGTAAAGTTACCTTGAACTCTTGTATAACCAATAAGTAAGTTAATTTTATTGACTGGTCAAATCATGTTTAACAATTCTCTTTCACGTATATGTGAAACAACATTAGCATAAATGAAATTTACTCGGAATATATGTCTTTTTCATTATGTCTTCTCTTATACGGCTACGAAGCTGATAAATCAAAGCAATTGAAAAGTGAGTGGTTTTGAACCCTGTCAAAGACTCACTCACTACCATCTAAGATCCTTAAAATGCTTCTCCTACAAAGGAGTATAGCTTATTTCAGCATTAAAAAACTAAGCAACTGATTTATCAAACGTCATTTTCTCAGCATTGTTTTTTTCAAAAGGATGTGTACAACAATCGAGCCATTTTAAACACTGTCAAAGATGTACTTGATGTTGTTCAAGTCCTCAACCTACCTGATTTAAAATACATCTCCCACACAGGAGTACAGCTTATATCAAATCACTTTTTTCATAGCATCTTTTGTAAAAGGATATGCACTCATCTCCCACACAGGAGTACAGCTTATATCAAAATCACCTTTTTCATAGCATCTTTTGCAAAAGGACATGCACAGCAAACGAGTTATTTTAAACTCTGTTGAAGATGAACTCGATGCTGCTTCAAAAACACCTTGCATCAATTTGGATGCAAGATGTATAATTTACTTAGAGGAACATTGAAAAGTCCTTCAATTTTTGTCTTATCAACAAACATCGTATAAATGTAATTATCAATTGAATGTTTTCTGCCCTATCCAGGTTCAAATCAGGCAAGAGATATAAAGGAATTTTCAAATATTTGTAAAAAAGATCACCTGTCTAATCAACTCTCCCCAAAAGGGCTTAACCCAAAATAGTGTAAATAGCCTTTTTAATATTCGCAGAAAAAAAATTAAAATGAATTCCATATTCTTTTCTCCAAAAAAATTCCTAGATGGAAATAAAAAAGACAGCAAAAAGTATTGTTTGCAAAATCCAAAGCTATAGAGGTTTCCACACCTCTCTCCTCATGGAGCTAATTGAGAACAAAAAGCGAAATTAAAATGAAGGTGTGCATCTAAATTTAGAGCTCTATGTCGAGTGAGGCACAAGGCTTTCGTCCGCTAGAGACAATAAGGTTATGCAGATATAGTTAAGGAGTAATTTTAAACTCAAGCATTCAGATATGTTATGAAATAAGATACTTTGGTTCTTATTATCACGCGGTATGCACCAAATGATAAAAAGAAATGACAATTAAATGGAAAAAAGAGACTAAATTTGAAGGTTTCGATTTTTTGAACAGAACTGAATGAGACTACCAATTAAGTTATTCTCCGTATTTGTATCATTGGTAGAAATCATTACCAATGATGCGAAAACGTTCAAAATGAAATCAGTACTCGATAGCTGCTGTTTACTCAGTTTTTTCTCTCTCTTAGTCATTGTTGTGTTTAGGAATAACTTTCAGTGGTGGGGTTTTAAAAAACTTTTGTAAGTCTTCCAACGTGGCGTTGTCAGAGAAGAGTTTGCTCAGTGGCATGTCTTCCCTAACTTCGCCCTCGTTCAAGCCTTCGCGAAACAGCGACCCAGGTTGAATTTCTATGGTAAGTTCGGGTTTCCGATCGGACCACACGTATTCGTTCCCAAGACTATCGGGAGCTTCGAAGAAACCAGCGTGGACTTTCTTTCCACTTTGACCGTCAATAAGAACAATTAGGATTGATGGCAAGTACTTCAGTTCGAGAAGTAACTTAAGAAGCTTTGCGTATACCAAGGACTGGAACTGGAACGGCTTGAATGCCATAACATCTTTACTTTCGTTGGCTTCCTTTACCTTCCACTCCACAATGACGAACTTCTCATTTTTTTTATCCCAGCCGATTGCATCTGCTTTTCCTTTCCAGAAATAAAGCTCGCGCCATTGCTCGTTCTCTTTGTACATGTATCCGCACAAACTAACCTCACTGCCGATGAATCTTACATGCACAGGTGGTTCCCCCAAACTTTCGATTAATGATCTCGCTACTCTTGCATTAGGCTCCTCTTCCTTTGTAGTTTCCCTGGACTGATCTTCCTTTATGATGTCAGCTAAACATTTTCCCAATTTTATTCCGAGGCGGTTTGTGATCTTATCATCTGTCTCGAAATTCTCTTTCAAATCAATGCTGAAATTCTTGCAATGTTCTGGTAGCTTTTCTATCTACGATAAACAAATTTGTGATTTCAAATTACGAATTCGTAAATTTCAACTCTTTTAAACTTCTGTCGATTTGCTAAAAACGCACGTGAGTGAAAGCATTTTTTTCTCCTTATTTCTTGACAGGCAAAAAAATAACGTTCAATTTGGTTTTTCGTGGTAAAGGAAAGCACCGAGATTTCTTGAATCCCACCGGAAATAATCAAGGCAAAACTGTATGAGTAATGAATTGGAAGTGCCAATATATAATACTATAATAGGCGGGAACATTTTGCAAGTTGCGCAGTATTTTCGCGAACCCGACAGAGTAGAGGAAAAACACGAGCAATGAGCAAAATATGAACCTTCGAATAAGAGAGTTACGATTCCACTCTTATCATTTTTTGCGGTCTTATTTGAGTATCGTACCGATCATATAAGGCTCGCGTGAAAGATGAAAACAACACAAAAGGAACCATTTAAGTGTTCTTGATGACCAAAAACAATTATTTTAGGTTTTGAAGTTCGTTCCTGAAATCCATGGCCAAAAAACCAAAACGAAATCAAAGATCGTACGGACCGTTTCTGTCCGTATTTTTGTCCTGATGTGGCAAATTTTACGCTTTCCATTACCCTGATATGGTAAAATGACAGAGTAGTGGAAAAATAAATGGCATCTATTGTCCTCTCGACATGTTTTCAGCTCTCATCTATAAAAAAAAAGAAGGAGGGCAGGTGGTCCCCTTTCGAAGGGAAACTTTACTTCAAAATTTGGCGAGGCCCTTCTTTGGAAGAAGGTTTGATGTTTACGGATTTAAGGTATCTATGTAATTAATTTTGTAATGAACAGAGTACAAACCTGTTCATCAAACGTTTTCATTTTCAAGTTCTTGTCCTTTATCGAGGGAGACAGGATACGGACAGGAAATGCAGCAGGTGGCTTCTCAATTCCTTCAACTTTTTTTTTCAAGAGTACCAGTTCATTTTTCAAATCTGCGTCCGTCATTCTTCTTTCTTCTTCCAGTTTGCTTTCTTCTTGTTCATTTTTTGTTTCTTCTTCTATGTCCATGTCCGAGATAGTATCGTTGTTAGCACTGGCACTTTCAAATAAGTAAAGGTAACAGAGCTATATCGTTCACCAGGTAGAGTTTGCTAGGATTTAAGAAATGAAAAAGCTCGTCTGAAAAAACGCACCCTAATCATGAGAATTGTATAACAAAAATAAAACCGAAAAGCGAAAAAATCGAAATTGTGCCAACCTGTAAAAGCGGTCGGTCAAAGTTCCAAACGTTTTTCCCCTTGAGCATAGGTTTTAACATAATTTCGAGTGCAATTTGGTGTTAATAAGCACGATTAAATTTTTCAAAGACAAAATCGCACGAGCCCGTAGAGCAAATGCAGTTTGTAGTCTTTAAAAAAATTAAAAAGGGACTCTTACAACAAATTGCAAGAAAAAAATGGTATTATTTGCTAATGACGTACATGGAAAAACATCACAGAAAGTCAAGACAGACGCGCGTTATTTGTAATTTGCACTCGTGTTACAACTTTGCACTCGTGTTAAATGCGAAGTCAATCGTTTTCAGCCAATCAGAAGCGCGTAATTTTTTCATGTACATTATGATGACTGTAATTTTTTCATCCCCATCAAGAGGTCACCGCTGTCAACCCTTTAACTCCCAAGATCTCATTAGTAATTCTTTTTACTGTCTGCCATACAGTTCTTGTGATATTAATTTGGAGAATTTGGTATTGAATCAACTTATAATCCCCTGATTGATATTTTTCTTTATTCTCATTACTTGTCTGCTTGATTTTGTATTTATATTGTAAGGAGAAAGTCTATCTTGGTCACTCATAGGAGTTAAAGGAATAAGTTGTTTTTAGTGTCTGCCACTTGCATCATTTTACGGTCACTTGAAGTGCTATCACCCAAATAAAATTAAGAATTATTTTTCACTTAAAACTCGATCCATGGTTTTTGGAGATGAGTTATTCCCACATAGTGAATTTGAAAGAGAGCACTTTGTCATGAAGCTTTGGGAGTAAAATAGTACAGTTTAACTGTATGATCCAAAACAGAATCAGACATTTTCCGCGAAACACATAACTCAAATTAGCTCATTGAAAATTAACACACAAATTCTTCGTACGTAATTCTTTAAAGAAAGGACGGATGAAACAAAAAATCGCGAATTCAGAATCTACCCTCATTTTTCACAAAAAACAATTGAAAGTAGCTCGTTAAAGATTGACATAAAAATTATACCTAATTTCTTTAAGAAAGGAATTTAGCATACCTTGACTCTGAGTATAGACTAAACCAAAGTTGAAAAGAGCTGCAATGGCTGAATCTTCTGATCTAAATAGCGTTGTCCAAGGAATCTTGGAGATAACTAACTCGCATTGAAGCTGTTCCTCAGTTTTTATAGAGCTACGAAGGAAAGCCGGCAGTGAGCCAGTTTTCAGAAGATTCCTGTTTACTTTCGTGAAAAGGCCTGTATCTGACGTAGCTAGAATTAATCTTCTTTTGTATAAAAAACGCTGACAGTTTTCCTGACTTTGGCTTCCCCTTAGAAAATGGCTTTCAACTGGTGGCAAGCGAGTCAATATCACCAATATCACCCTTAATACGGATAAATATAGGTTTATTTTGATATTTACATATTAACATTGATTTGAGGGGTCCTTCATGAAAAGTTCATGATAATTGACGAGGTTTTGTAGGCACTATCAATCAGTGTAAGCTAACAATAGCTTCAGTTAAAACGTCTTCCGGCTACTTGATAAAATGTTGTATTGATGTTGTTAAGACATGTCTAAACCTGACAAATTAAGGGTCTAATTAGCAGTAATAAGCCTTGTAAGCTGTCTTAAATCTGTCAAAGTACTTAACTACTTGCATGCACTTGACAGGTCCCGTTGGCTGAAGATGAGTAAGGGAGAGCCTTGACCCGTTTCG